ATTTTTGCTTAAAGTAGTTGCTCGTTATGTGGAAACCACACATAAAATTTGGTTATATGTACCTGTATGTACACCATCAAAAATGTTATATATAGACTTTGTCATTCCGGTTTAAGACCCATAAAAGTATATTTATTATGGGTTCTTATTAGATTCTAAAATCATCTTTCCATGTCCATCCGTCTGTCTGTTGAAAACACGATAAGAGTTCAAACGAAAGGAGCTAGAGAGCTGAAATATTTTGCACAAATATTTTTAGTTGGTGTAGCTTGCTTGAAAATTGGCAAAAATGGGCAATATCGGCCCACGATTTTGCCTAGCACCCCATATAAGCCCAGAAAATAAGTTTAACGGTAATAACTGTATAAAATAAGCATGTATAGTAATGAGTTTTAAAGGAAGTAAAATCTTTTATGAGGATCGGTCCATAATTGACCCTATCTCACATATAAATCCCCCATAAGATTCGGTATAGCCGAATGTAATACTCTTACTTGTTCATTATAATTTTTGAAAGGATGAATAGATCTGAACCGTATTTATACATTGTTTAAGTTGAAATATAATTTAAGGTATTTTCAGACTACAATACTGAGTATTAATACTTGTCAAAAATGTTTGTATCATAATACAATTTACTAGTCTAAATATAATTTGTAATATGATTTTTAAAAATATTACTGATTTTTTTGGCATACGGTCGGTATTCATAAATTTTTTAAAACAATTCAAAAACTTTTTATTTTCAAACGTATTCGGTATGTATTTTTTAAATACAATAAAAAACAAACAAAAAGTGTAAAATACATTAAAAATAAGAACGAGAAGTGCATAAATAATAGAAAATTGGATAAAAAATATTACAAATATTATAGTGTAAACATAAAATGTATTTTTCGGATTGATTTTTTGAAAATGCGAATTATTTTCATAATATTTTTAATTTGAAGTGTGTTAATACTCAGTATTGTAGTCTGAGAATACCTTTAACTAGGACGTTACACGAGCAAGTTTTGCCTTTCAAGTTTCATTTTTTTACTAATACACTTTTTAAAATTGAAACAAACTTGCTTTTCAATTTTTCTTTCCATTTACTGTTTCAAATTTATAATCAAGAAATAATTTTTTGAACAATTTTTAGTTTTTCTTTTGAAAATTTGGTCGGAGCCACATAAGTCTCAATATAATTAGTTAGGATAAAAAGTGGGCGAACTAGCAGCAGGGGGCGTGGCACCTCCCATATTAATTAAATACACAAATTCGTTTATCTTGGAAACTATTAGAGTTAAAAGCTTCAAATTTTTCACGAAGAACTTTAGTATCCATATTTTGGGTAATAAATTGGCGGACTACCATTGGGGGGAGCGGCACCTCCCATATGAATTAAATACAACAAAATATTTCATCTATGAAACTAATAGAACTAGATTCCTTAAATTTTGCAAAAAGGACTTTCATATTCATCTGAACCTTTTGGGGAAAAAAAGCGGACTTTCATCAGGTGGTGGCTTGGAACCCCCATATGAATTATGTAGAAAAATTTGTATATCTGAGATACTGTAGAAGCTAGAATCTTCAAATTTTACATGAAGAACTTTGACATTCATCTGAACATTTAGAGAAAATGGGCGGACTTTGAATGGGGGGATTGGCCGCTCCCATATGAATTAAATACAATAGAATATAATTTACATTTTTCATAGCTTACATTAAAATCCTAATTAGCGTTCGGAAAAATTGGCGAACTTGCAATAATTTGAGTGGCATTTCCCATGTGTAATTTGGTTTTTTTGCTTTTAGGGTAGCAAAGCATACTGGGTATAGCTAGTAGGAAATAAAAGAGCTTTTCGTATAATTCTCTATCCCAAATCCTATATAACTTCTATATAATCTTCCAGAAGATGCATTAAATTTAGTCTTTCGCGAAAGTAATTAGGATATATATAAATGAAATAAAAATATTTCGTAAATAAAATTTTAAAAAATTTTGTTTTGAAAATTTTGCAAAAAAATTGCATTAAGTGCAACTTTTTCTTTTTTTACTTCGTATCTAGAGGACTTCCTCTATCAAACAGGTCCTAGATGAGTAGATCATTTTACCATTTTTAGAATCTTCAATATACTCAAAAAATCAAAAGATATTGGAAAAAACGCCTTTTTTTGACTTGACAGACTAAAAAAAATTTCTTAACCGATTTAATATTTTTCAACTGTTTTGATAAGAGTTTCCTTTGTACTTTTTAAAAATTATATTTTTTACGGAAATGTGTAAAATATTAAGATCTAAATACAAATTTTTATATATATTTCTTTTTAATTTTTTTACAATTTAAGATCATTTTTGACACACACTTTTTTTGAAAACATATTTTTTAAATGTTTTTTATTTAACTCTTACTTTTACGAATAAAAAACTTACAAAAATATAATTTTTTTCGTAAAAACAAAAATTTACCAAATTTCTCTCTGCTATTGTAAAATATCAACGCATGATGCAACACAAATTTAAGCTTTATTATTCAAATGGATAAATTACTTTAGCAATGACAGATTTGGAAAAACAAAAATGGAAATGAGCATATTTATGCTGTAGAAAAAAAGAAATCCATAGAGAAGGCATAAAAAATAAAATTCTTAAGTTAAGGCCTAACTATAATATGCTTACACAAGCTGAATTCACCTTAAGCAACTGATCGAATACATATAACACGTATGTGACAAACTATAATGTAATTAAAGCGCCTTGGCGACACATACAATTTGTTTGACTCAAACAGTAAGTTTTTTGATTGTGTTAGTAAAAAACTCACACCGCATATATACGTGTGAGTTTTTTCACTAACCAATTAAAAAACTTACCGTTTGAGTCAAACAAATTTGATGTGTGGCCGTGTCGCTTAAAAGAGTTTTGTCATGTTTCGTCAAATTTTATTTGCTTAAGCAAAGAGCGATACTGAAAGCACATTCCGTACGGAATCAATTGTTGGTTTATTATTCACAAAGAAAATAAAAAAAATTAAAATTTACAAGAAAATTAATTTATTTCGATAAAATATTATGAAATATGTATTTTTGTTATTACGTATGGCATATAAATGTGAAAATGGAGCTAAATTGTTTTGAATGCAACGTAAGTACATTGTAGCCACCTAAAAGTTTCTTCGAATTTTCTTAAGCACTTGAGAGACTTTTCGTTCGGTTTTGACATAACCTTAAGCTAGTTTATGAACATTATAGTTGGGCCTTTAGTGTTAAGTAAAGCTGTGAATTTGTGAAGAGAAAATTAAAAGTGTTTTGTTTAATGTATAGCTTGTGTATAATAATATAACGTTCTTTTATGTAGACACACTGCTCCCACGTTTCTTAGGCAAATTGACGCGGGGAAATATAATCTAAAAATAATGATAGTAAAGAATATATACGTCTTAGGGAGCTCATTTAGAAGTAAAAAATACATAGATTCGAAAATATACTTTGGAGAATGTCCAAAATTTGATCCTGAGGTGATAGGAGAAAAGAAGAGGTTATGAGTTAGAACAAGATATATATGTATACAGTAGAGATAAATAAAAACTTTTGATATAGCAGAAAATGGAAGAAGGGAAATGGAAGATAAAAGATAAGTTTATTTTAATTCCAGAAATTAGAATCAGTGCCTGCAATTCATTATACGCTCTAAAATTGGAATTTGAAATTTTTGCTATTTGAACACAAGAAATCCCCAAGTTCTTTTTATTCTGTAAAACAAAAAAGGGGAATCAGCAAATTATATACATAAGTTTTTCCATATTTTGTGTTTTTTGTCGCATTTATGTATTTTAATGCGGATGCAGCTACGACAAGATCGGGAGGACAGATGAGACTGTCAGCTGTCTCAGGATTCTTCGTGTGGTAGATTTGTTGGTGTAGTTTCTGTTTCTGTTTCAGTGTAGAGTTTTTGTTTTCTCTTTATTTACTTTTCGGTTCTGTGTCTGGTGAGTAGGGTTGGGACCGACTGAGGATTTATACATGATCGAGTTAGCTGGAACCCTCGCTGGGAAACATGTTCCGTAACAAATATCCTTTGCTAAGAATGTCTTGTGGTGATGATTCAATTTCATCTGATTTTGTCTTAGTTTTATATATATAAACTAAGTTATAATCAGTGTCGAGACAAGTAAGAATAAAAGTGGTTTTCGAAAATTAAAAAATTAATTTGTAATAAAGTTTCTTTTAAATACCAAGTGTATTAATATAAAGTGTTATATTAGAAATCAAAAATTAAATTCATAATGCTATCGCAAAAAATTATGAGTCTGCTTAAAATGAAGTGGAGTCACCCAAAAAGTGAAGTGAATTGGCCGAGTAATGCAAGTGTGAAAGACTTTGGACTTTGTAAAACACGAGTTAACTACAACTGTGGTCAACGAGTTATTAGAAATTCTTAGAAAAACTGATTAAAAATGTAAGGACGTTAAAAGGTACAGCAAAAGAGAATTATGAAATTTTATTTTTTTTGTTAAAATTTTAGGTATTTTTACAAAAGGATTTACAGGATTTAAGTGTTTCCTTGCTCCTTACTTTATAAAAATAAAAGTTTATATAACCAAAGAGCAAATTTTTCAATAACTTCAGAATTTTTTTGAATTTTTTTATAGGATATATAGGATTTTTACTGTACCACATTTTGTTTGCCTATTGACAACTAGAACTGTTTTACTGACATTTTCGTTTTTAAGGATATATGGGAGGTACCATTATCCTTGGGCCGATTTTGCTCAAAAATTAAATTTTGTCTTATGTTTATGACATATAGCCCTATGCCTAATTTTATTACTCTACAACAACTCCCTCTATTTTTGCTAAATTTTGTTCTACATGGGAGCACTGTGCTACGGAAGTAAATGTGTCACAGACGCGACTCTTCACTGTGAATCGTCTACGATGTATTAAAATTAGTATTGGCAGAATCGTCTTTATGAATCGTCTACGATGCGATAAATAGAGTCTTTACACAATCGTTTGAATTGATCCTAAAATGTCTAAAAAATAGTTATTCGTTTTATATTGGCATTTTTTGTAAACTTTAAATAACAAATAAAATATAAATTTGAATTCTAAGACGGTCACCAGCATGAACAAAATGTTGTTGTAATACCTAATTTATTCCTCCATCATCAGCTTTAGGAAATTTAGAATGGCAGACACCTTTAAAAAGAAAATAATTAAAATTCAGTAAATGCGTGTCATTAAAAATACTTACTTGTTGTAAATTTCGTTATATTGAATTCCTGAACACTCGGCTTACTGCTCGTTCCACGCCAACTCAATTTTGCAACCACATCATCGCTCATCATCATCACTTAATTGAATCCCTGACAGCTTTATCACCCGTATTTCTGTAAAAAACTTGATGTTAATATTTGTTTATGTAATTCTCTTTTGCTGTACCTTTTAACGTCCTTACATTTTTAATCAGTTTTTCTAAAAATTTCTAATAACTCGTTGACCACAGTTGTAGTTAACTCGTGTTTTACAAAGTCCAAAGTCTTTCACACTTGCATTACTCGGCCAATTCACTTCACTTTTTGGGTGACTCCACTTCATTTTAAGCAGACTCATAATTTTTTGCGATAACATTATGAATTTAATTTTTGATTTCTAATATAACACTTTATATTAATACACTTGGTATTTAAAAGAAACTTTATTACAAATTAATTTTTTAATTTTCGAAAACCACTTTTATTCTTACTTGTCTCGACACTGATTATAACTTAGTTTATATATATAAAACTAAGACAAAATCAGATGAAATTGAATCATCACCACAAGACATTCTTAGCAAAGGATATTTGTTACGGAACATGTTTCCCAGCGAGGGTTCCAGCTAACTCGATCATGTATAAATCCTCAGTCGGTCCCAACCCTACTCACCAGACACAGAACCGAAAAGTAAATAAAGAGAAAACAAAAACTCTACACTGAAACAGAAACAGAAACTACACCAACAAATCTACCACACGAAGAATCCTGAGACAGCTGACAGTCTCATCTGTCCTCCCGATCTTGTCGTAGCTGCATCCGCATTAAAATACATAAATGCGACAAAAAACACAAAATATGGAAAAACTTATGTATATAATTTGCTGATTCCCCTTTTTTGTTTTACAGAATAAAAAGAACTTGGGGATTTCTTGTGTTCAAATAGCAAAAATTTCAAATTCCAATTTTAGAGCGTATAATGAATTGCAGGCACTGATTCTAATTTCTGGAATTAAAATAAACTTATCTTTTATCTTCCATTTCCCTTCTTCCATTTTCTGCTATATCAAAAGTTTTTATTTATCTCTACTGTATACATATATATCTTGTTCTAACTCATAACCTCTTCTTTTCTCCTATCACCTCAGGATCAAATTTTGGACATTCTCCAAAGTATATTTTCGAATCTATGTATTTTTTACTTCTAAATGAGCTCCCTAAGACGTATATATTCTTTACTATCATTATTTTTAGATTATATTTCCCCGCGTCAATTTGCCTAAGAAACGTGGGAGCAGTGTGTCTACATAAAAGAACGTTATATTATTATACACAAGCTATACATTAAACAAAACACTTTTAATTTTCTCTTCACAAATTCACAGCTTTACTTAACACTAAAGGCCCAACTATAATGTTCATAAACTAGCTTAAGGTTATGTCAAAACCGAACGAAAAGTCTCTCAAGTGCTTAAGAAAATTCGAAGAAACTTTTAGGTGGCTACAATGTACTTACGTTGCATTCAAAACAATTTAGCTCCATTTTCACATTTATATGCCATACGTAATAACAAAAATACATATTTCATAATATTTTATCGAAATAAATTAATTTTCTTGTAAATTTTAATTTTTTTTATTTTCTTTGTGAATAATAAACCAACAATTGATTCCGTACGGAATGTGCTTTCAGTATCGCTCTTTGCTTAAGCAAATAAAATTTGACGAAACATGACAAAACTCTTTTAAGCGACACGGCCACACATCAAATTTGTTTGACTCAAACGGTAAGTTTTTTAATTGGTTAGTGAAAAAACTCACACGTATATATGCGGTGTGAGTTTTTTACTAACACAATCAAAAAACTTACTGTTTGAGTCAAACAAATTGTATGTGTCGCCAAGGCGCTTTAATTACATTATAGTTTGTCACATACGTGTTATATGTATTCGATCAGTTGCTTAAGGTGAATTCAGCTTGTGTAAGCATATTATAGTTAGGCCTTAACTTAAGAATTTTATTTTTTATGCCTTCTCTATGGATTTCTTTTTTTCTACAGCATAAATATGTTCATTTCCATTTTTGTTTTTCCAAATCTGTCATTGCTAAAGTAATTTATCCATTTGAATAATAAAGCTTAAATTTGTGTTGCATCATGCGTTGATATTTTACAATAGCAGAGAGAAATTTGGTAAATTTTTGTTTTTACGAAAAAAATTATATTTTTGTAAGTTTTTTATTCGTAAAAGTAAGAGTTAAATAAAAAACATTTAAAAAATATGTTTTCAAAAAAAGTGTGTGTCAAAAATGATCTTAAATTGTAAAAAAATTAAAAAGAAATATATATAAAAATTTGTATTTAGATAATTCATAAACATAAGACAAAATTTAATTTTTGAGCAAAATCGGCCCAAGGATAATGGTACCTCCCATATATCCTTAAAAACGAAAATGTCAGTAAAACAGTTCTAGTTGTCAATAGGCAAACAAAATGTGGTACAGTAAAAATCCTATATATCCTATAAAAAAATTCAAAAAAATTCTGAAGTTATTGAAAAATTTGCTCTTTGGTTATATAAACTTTTATTTTTATAAAGTAAGGAGCAAGGAAACACTTAAATCCTGTAAATCCTTTTGTAAAAATACCTAAAATTTTAACAAAAAAAAATAAAATTTCATATTTATGTAATTAATTGTTTTTACAAATATTTTAAATGCCTTATATTTGTACTTATATACTTCTATATTCATAAAGTTCTGAATGGTTTATTTAATAAACTATCATTTGTCAATCATTTATGAATAGTTTTCCTTAAATCAGATAAACTAAAAATCAATTAGAGTATTAAACTCGGAAATTTATAAAAGCAATCATCAAATCAGAATCATCGGAACTTTAATCGGAACGATTAAAAAATAACAAAAAAAAATAATAATAATAAAGTTTTGTACAAAATACTTCAAAATTTAATAACATTTAAATACTCGTTCAGAATCTCAAGTTATTTGAACATTTGAAAGTGAGTAAAATGAATTAAACATGATGCATCATGTTTAATTCATTGTTTTATTTTCGGGCAAGGTTGATAACATTTTATTTGTATTTATAGTACTGAGGGAGTTATTATCGTTTGGTGTATGGGAATATCTTTAATGTTTGATTAAATGTCAGTACCCCGTTTCTGTAACTTTTAGTGAGAAGTTCTCACATCGAGACGTGTGAAACATAACATTCCATCGTTTCTCGGTTTGTGAGTAAAAAGTGTTTCTGTAACTTAAAGTGAGAAGAGGCTTCACGAATTACGTTTTTATTGGAAAATTCCAGTAAACAGCTGTCAAAAACATAAAAATTAAAAGAAGAAAACAAAAATTGCCGAACAAATTTATAAACGAAGAATAAATAAACAAAAAGTATAGAAAATAAATGAAAATTGTTCGAAAAATTATCCCACTAAATTCGCCCTTTGCAAATTTTAAGTTTACGCCCACGTACTTTTTTGGCATTTGCTTCTGTATATCCGAAATTCCTCCTATTTTCTAAAAATTAGTGAACGATATTTATTTTAATCTTAATTAATTATAAATATAACATTACTTTTTCATTATTTCATAGAATTCATGCTTAAATTAAATTTTTTTTTACTTCATGTGAGAAACTTCTCACAAAATTTTCTTACAGAAACACTTTTACTCACAAATTTCCAATAACTTACGTCAAAAAACGTAAATGACAGATAGTATCTTACAAAAACACTTGCATTTGAGAAATGATATTTTGTTTCAATTCACATTGTTTTTTCTTCAAATTTCACTGTTTCATGCGAAAAACTTCTCGATGCTAGAGTTACAGAAACGAGGCAGATATTATTTATAGTGAGAGGTTTTGGTATTATTTTTTCATTCGAATAAACCATTTTTATAGTTTTGATCTTCATATTGTTTTTTATTTGTTCATATACATGAGTTCTTAGCTTTGTTTTCAATTAATTTATTTGGTTTATATCCTATTCTGTCAGGTGTCTTTCAATTGTTTTTTTTTTTTTTCTGTTGTGCGAATTGTTCTATGGTTTGGACTTTATTTGCAATTAGATTTCTAATTTAGTTGTGGTTCTTGTTATCATTTTGATTATTAGTTGTTGTAATTCTTAAGGGATACTTAGTTTAATCTAATCGTTGGTATTTAATTTTTAAATCATTCTTTGTTTTCAATATTTTTATTTATTTTTTTTTTTGATATGTCACACATATTTTGTTCTTGCATCGTGGGTTTTAGAGGTTATTTGGTTGTGTTATGATCGTATATTCTTAGAAGGTGTCAGTAGTCATGGTCTTTTATTTGACATATTAGTAACTGATTGAATTTTTAAGGTGGAAGTACACAACACGCGTTGAGGCGGCAACGCGTTTCATGCTTTTCAAACTTTTCGCGCTTTATAAGCGGCAAGTTACACACAACGCGTCATTTTGATCTCTCTTTTAACGTATTTTAAGACTATTACTGTTTTAACAAGTATTCTATATTCGGCTGTGCCGAATCTTATATACCCTTCACCATAGTGTATTTAAAAAATCATTTTCCCGACTATATCATTATTATAGCAATAGCAAAACATAATGAACAACAACAACGCTAAACGATATAAAGGCGCAATTTACATGAAGACTTTTCAGACGTCTGTTTTTTCCAATTCTCTTTCGAGAATCTTCCAAAAAATCATGAACATTTATACGGTGATTTTTTACATGCAACTATGCATGTCTTTTTTTGATGTTTAATTGTATAATCCTTTTTAATTACTTATTCGTAATAAAAACAAAATTAAATTTTTAACATAAAAACCATTTAATTTGATTTAAAAAAATTTAATAACACGCTATAGTATTTTTTTAATGCAAATTTTAATGTTTTCATGTAAAAAAAAGACATAATTATTTTTTTACATGAGCATAATATCAACAGTACGAATGAGTTTAAAGAGGAATGTCAAAAACAATCATGAAAATCCCAAATCATGTTTGTTTTCTTACCCCCCATTCTTCTCTACCCCGCTCACCACCAATCATCGACAAACATGAAAACAGACGTCTGGGCAAACATGAAAAAAATCATCATGTAAATTGGGTGAAACACA